TTCTTTGTCTACTTATACATCAGTGGACTCTTGGGTTGCTTCCACCTCTTGCCTATTGTGAATAATGCTTTTATGAACATAGGTGTACAACTATCTCTTCAAATATCTGCTTTCATTTTGTTTGGGTATATACCCTGAAGTGGAATTGCTGAATTCTATGGTAATCTTTTTTTTATATTTTTTTCTTTGTTTTTTGGAGAGTAGTTTTATTAGCTCGGGATATAATGGGATCATCACTAGGAGGGCAGGGTATTCCACTGGTTACCATGTGCAGCTGTCTGGGGAGCACGATAAAATTCAGTCCAGGGTTCTGTGCTGGGGAGCAGGGCCTTAAAAAGAAGGCAAATTGTCCAGGGAAGTAGTAGCTGTGAGGGTCATGGCTGGCCTGCTCCACTCTACTGCACTGAATCTCCTGATGCTTTTCAGGCTCCTGTCCATCCTGCATCTGTATGGGGCAATGGACCATCTGGCCTAAAATTTTATCCTCAAGTTTGATGTAGGCCAGGCATTTCTGCTTCTTTCCACTGGACTTGACTTTGCACTCAGAATTCTTCTTCCAGAAACTTGTATACTGGAGCTTAAATTCTAGCCTCACAAAGGTTCCTGCTGGGAAGAGTGTATCCATAGCACTGCTCATATTGGTCTCCCTGAAGCCTCACTGCATAAGTGGATGCTTATGGAATTTAGCCAGGGCACCTGCAGGCCCTGCTCCTAGGCCCTTAGGAGCTCAGCCCTGCCTAATCCCATGGTGCCCAGCCATAGGGCCAGCAGGATCAGCAGCTACTGCATGGGTTTCCCTCAGTCACCCTGGACCTTCCTTCCTGCGCCTTCAAGAAATTTCCTAACCTTCACCGTGGCTAAATCTTGGCCTCAGCTGTCAGTCTCTTCCTGGTCTCCTCCCCACATCCCTGCCCCTGATGCTCTTTCCTACTATGGGGGCCTATTTTCACTTATGTACTTATTTTCTCCCTGGAATTATAAACTGTTGATAGATTGTAACATCCTTAAAGCCAGCAAAGATAAACATGTTTCTATCTTCATGATAATCAGTTATTATTTGGTCTACAATACAACGTAACATTTTTTAAATGTATTTTCAGCCTTACTGTAAGAAACAGTCCAATGGGAACTTATAGTTGTGTTTATCAAAAGAGTTTGTTGAAGGTGTTGTTTATTACATTACACAAGGATTTCTTCCCACAAGAAATCCTTTTTGCTGACTTTAGTGTCAAAAATGGATGGGCATGTTTGAGGTGATGGATATTCCAATTACCCTGTTTTGATCATTATACTTCACATGAATGTATCAGAATATCACATGTATCTCATAAGTATATACAATTATTATATATCAATTTAAGAAAAAACTGGTTGGACTTCTCTGAGAAACTGGCTTGCTGTTATCTAATGAATGTTTTAAACTATTAGTATTTTTCATTTGTATGAATTTTTTATATTTTCATTATTCTGGCTCCCACTTTATGACTAACCATATCTTCCTTTAACCATATTTTTCTCATCTACTTTCAATTTGTATTGCCCTCCTGAATTGTGTGTGTGTAAACAATATACTTAAATGCCTTTTCATGCAAAGCATAATTTAAATAAATACATATTAAACAAAGACCTTAAAGTTTTAAATGGAAAATAGAAAAACATTTCTGGTATAATGACTTTTGGTATGGTACAAACAAACAGTCTAGAGGTTTGGAAACCATCCTTTCCATTCCTCCCTCACTCCTAATTCTGCATAGTCTTTAAGAGCATGGATTTAGAGTCAGATGGACTTGGGTTTAGACCTTGCCTTACCATTTATAAGCTGTGGGATCCCAGGCATGGTCCCTAAATTTAAATTTTTTTATCTGTAAAATCAAGATAATGATATACAGTTCATAAATAATAGAAGGTATTACTATTATTCAGCATCAGTTCTTCTATATAGAATTGATATAAAACTATTGAAAGTGTAGCCTTTTTCAAAATAAATTAGGACAGAGTAAATGAGAACAGTTCCAGAAGAAAATTATCCTTCCTTTTAAAATTTTATTTGGTTTCCGTGAGAATCCTTGTGAAAACAAATCATATACTACTTGTTATAGAGCAACTACTTGCTTGTAGGAGGATGACTGTTAAGGATGCCTTTGAAGAACATAAAGAACAGGGGTTTCTCAGGTCAACATGTATTATATTGGTTTCAGTGATATCTAAAAACTATTTGCAATGTTTCCCCTTTCATTCATTCAAATGCAACTTCAGATTGAATGCCATCTGGGTACTCTACACAGTATTGAATTCATCAAGAATATGCTAGCATGGACTTTAGTCCTTGGTAGTTTTAATTTTTTTTCTGGTAGGTCTAGAAGAGTGTGATTTCATTAGCCAATGTTCTATGTTATTCTTCTTTTTCATTTTAATAACTGTATGTTTCTATCTCCATTTACTCATTTATTTTTGCAAGGGTATGAATCCACTTTATTGTTGAGATGTGTGTTTTTTTTTTTTTTGGTCTTGAGATGGTGTGATATAGTCAAAGTAGGTTAGATTTTGGATCCTCTGGGACCAGGTTTCAATTCTTGGTTTTCCTGTCAGTTACTTACTGTGTACACTTAGAGAGTTACCTAGTCTCACTGACCTTTAGTTTCTTCACTTCTGAAATTGGTATAACAGTAGTCTCTTTGACACCACTTGGCATCTCTCTGTTTACTCCCATCCTCACCATTATCCTGTAATCTTCTAAAGGAATATTCTACATGCAAGGCAGTCACTTTCTCATTTCCCAGTCACTGCTCAATCCCGTAGTCTGTCTGGCTTCTCTTTGCATTATTCTAATACTGTTCTGGCTAAAATCATTGATAATCTCTTAACTCTCAGAGTGCTTTAGTCCTTATCTTACTAGAATGCTGTGCTGCATTTAACACTTGTCTGTCATGCCTTCCTTATTATTACCTTGTCCTCTGATCCATTTTTGTTTTCATTCTTAGATGTTGCTTTGTCTGATCAACCCTCAAGTTTTATGGACCACTATACCTTTCACCCTATACAGTTGAGGGAGATTGGTTCCAGGAACCCCCACAGATACCAAACTCTGCAAATGCTCATGTCCCTTATATAAAATGGTATGGTATTTGGATATAACCTATGAAATCCTCCTGTATACTTCAAATAATCTCTAGGTTACATATAATACCTAATACAAGTACTGCATTCCTTGAGGTCTGTGTCTTATTTACCCTTTTATCTCCAGCATTCACAGCAGTGTGTGACAAATAATTCCTTCATTTTTCCCCTTGTTCCTGACTTTGGAGTCTTCCTTTTAAAATATAAATCCTGTTTAGCTATGTGGCACTGTAATTAGTACCAACTCCATTTAGGTATTCAGCACATATTTGTAATGGTATCAATTTACATGTTTATTTTATTTACAAATATCTCAGTGAACTCTCACACAGATCCATAATGTTGTCTTATAGTTATTAGGCAGGGAGTCCCTCGTCTTACTCACAGACTATTAATCTACCTGCATCTACATCCTGCATCTATCTGCTCCTTCCCTCCTTTTTCAATAGAGATGTACAGTTCTTATCGACATTTAAATATCTTCAAGTCTTAGCATCTTTAAGAAAGAAAAACAAACTCGATATCCTCTTATTTTTTTCTTCTCTTATGTAGCCTGACTGCTTTGAAGATTCCTCAACTCATTCGGTGCTGGCTTATTGCCATCACTGTGAAAACAACTCTCAGGAATGTCACTAGTGACTTTCACGTTGCTATATCCAGTGAGAACATTTCAGCCCTCAGCAGTATACACATACTAATGGAGAATGAAAGAAAAAGCAGGTTGTATAGAGAGGCTACAAAGTAATTCTAGTTACTTTAAGGAAGTTTGAGAATATAGTAAAGACATCTGTGGCCTTATACTAGACCCTGTCAGGAATCACAGTGCTTTTAGGACTGACTCATTTTCTTTCTCAATGGCTGCATAATCTCTCTGTTTGGAAACTTGACTTCCTTTTGTACATCTTTTCTAATTTCGTCTCTGTTTTTTTCTATTTTTTTATAATTTCTGCTCCTCCATAACTTCAGCTGGAATGTAGCCCATTATAGCCTCTGGTCTCCCTCCTTGACATAATGAGGACCTCTTAGTTTCAGCTAATTGTCTCATTTTCTTGGTATTCTTTACTTAAATTTCTAGAGCGTTAGTTTTATTAGTCCAGTTCATCATTTGTATCAAGCCACTTCACAGATGATTGAAACCGACTCAATCTATAGCCTAGCCAATCACGTATGAATTGCCCCGTGTAATCCTGATTTCTACTTTTAGATTTGAGTAAAATCCAAATTATAATGGATTAAGGAATGCATCACAGGTGAGGAAATAAGGGTAAGGGCTTGAATCCAAAGAGGGTGACAGACTAGTGAGGAGCACACATGATCAGTGAAATCAAAATAAGGATTTTGTGTTTTGTTTTAAGATGGCAGAGATTTGAACATAGAATGAGTCAATTAATAGAAAATAGTTGAAACAAAGAGAATTTAATTTTTTAGTTACTGAAGTCATCTTAAGGTGGCAGGAGATGGGACTACAGAGTACAGATAGATAGATTAGCTTTAAATAGGAAAGACACCTCTTCCTCTGAAGTGGGGTTTAAATAAGAAAGTAAGAAGGTGATGCACATAAATTTAAAAATAGGGGAACCTGCCTGTTGGCATACTTTATGAAATAGTCAGCAAGGAGAACTGCACAGACGTGAAATAAAGATTTCCAGTACGTGCTGAGGAAAATTCAACTAGGTACCTGACAACTGTGAGTATGATGACGTGATTTTCTTTTTCACCATAGCTCATATGTAGGTTAAGAAAGGGTGAAGGATTTGGCTAGTTCAGAGTTAAAATAGACTTAATTTGTGACATGGTAGCACTAATGCTTGCTTCTCCCACCCTTCACGTTTGTTTGGTTTGGCCATGTTTTCATTGTGGTCTTTCATACTTGTATTTTGTAGGTCTTGATGACTGTTTGCAGCAGTATATTAAGAACTTTGAGAGGGAGAAGATCAGTGGGGACCAGCTGCTGCGCATTACACATCAGGAGCTAGAAGATCTGGGGGTCAGCCGCATTGGTCATCAGGAACTGATCTTGGAAGCAGTTGACCTTCTGTGTGCATTGGTAAGGACATAAAACTGGTGAAGAGGGAAACTTCCCTTTTCTTCTTTTGTTACTTTTCCCTTTTTTCTTCTCTTCTTTTGATAATTGAAATGCAAATAGAAGAAAAAAACCCTGATAACCAACTGGACCTGATATTTTCTTCCTTCCTTAAATTTTTATGATGTTAGTGCCAAATAACCGTTCCCTGATTGTAACATCTTTTATAACAGTAAGAGTTGGGTATATCAAAACCTTAAGTCCAGAGTGTATGTCTCATAAACAGGACTCTTCATAGATGAACCACTCATGTGCTAGGCTCTCACACTTTGAGAAAGGAAAGAATATTGATGGTTGACAGTGTTATATACATACAGTCTAGACATTTGAAGTTTGACCTATGAACAAGGCTCTGCTGACCTAAACCTACTTAAAAGCATGGCATCAGAAATAGATGTCTAGACCACTTCTAAGTTTGAACCATGTAGCTGTGGTGAATCCTTTCAGATACTGAGCTTTAATCCCTGTACAGTTCTGGGTTTAAGCACCAGGTTTAAAGTCATGTCATTTGGATGCTTCATTATGTGATTGAGCCCTTCTGGAAGTTAACGCGGAAAATAAATTTAAACACCAACTTTTTTTTTTCTGTTTATTGAGCAGTTCCTTAGTTGCAGTCCCCAAAGAAGTCAAATGTTAAACTTCCTTCTTACCCCTTCCTAATGTAATGGATATACATCAACAAGTCAGAAGTACAGATACATTTCAGTTTATGCAACAGATGCTTTCTGGGGAATATAAAGCAAATTTCTGGGTCGTGAATTCTGATTTTCTTCTACATACCGTTATGAAATCAGGAGGTGAGATTCCTTATCAGCAAGCTGAGTTGACTAGTCCAGGAAATTGTACTATTGGGACTGTATCTTTACCTCCTTCCCCTCTGTCCCCAACTGCTCTTCGAATTTTATCCTCAACTACCCTGCTAAGTCTTGTCTCTCTGATCTTCACTGGCCATTCTACATTTTCCTTATGTCTACTGTATTCTTTTCTTTTTCAACAATTACATATTCCTGCTCAAACAGTGCTATCGCTGGGAATGCAAAGATGAAAAAGACGCAGTCTGTACTCCTAAAATATATACAGTCCATTAAGAAAGACAGTAGCCATTAGAAGACAACATAGATTTAAAGAAAATTCCAGGGGAGTGTAGAAGGAAATGAACTCTTCTGAGGGATTCAGAAAGTGTAGGTAACGTATGCATTTGGTCTTACAAGATGATTAGATGTTTGCCAGACAAAAAGTTGGAGAAAAGTTATCTAAGCAGAAGAAATATCATGTGTAAAAACAGAATTGTGAAAGAATATGGAATATTCAGAGAAAATTGAGAATTGTCATTTAGTTTGTGTAGAATGGGAAATGATGAGAAGAAAAGGTAACACCTTACACCTTGTATCACATTACAATTCTTTGCTTAGGTTCTTTTATCCTTTAATTCATGTTGGACTCCTCAAAGGAAGACACCTTTGTTTAGTTCATATTTTTTATTTAGCTTTCTGCCCAGTGCTAAGCTCATAAAAGATGTTAAATTAATGTTATCTTGCTGAATTAAACTCTCTTGTCTTTCTTCAAAGAACCATAATTTTTCTCTTGCCTACACAGCCTTTGACTTTGAGGTTTCTGTTCCTCAAATAAGGAAGACATAGAAAAATTAGCAGATTCCTTTTGTTTCTTTAAGCTATACTGTATTTTCATCTACCTTGTCTTGAAGTTATTCCTTATGTGCATAAATGTTTATGGCAGCTGATGAGAATCAAAGGTTTATTTAGTCACTTATTTATTCATGCAACATATATTTATTAAGCATCAGATATATTGTTTGCATCATGTTATTCTAGAAAGAAGTAAGCTGTTCATGATTTGGAGGTGTAATAATATTTCAAGCTATTAAGCTATCATTTAGTATGCTTCAATAGGGAGCAAAGAATATTAACTGAAAGAGTAAAAACATAAATAAAATATATAGAGAGAGCTTAATGTATGGGCCTTGATTTGTATTCTGACAATACACTTTTTATTAGGAACTGTAAATAAATCATTTATGACAGGATAAGAACAGTTTTCATTTCATTTTTCATGTACTTATAATTTCAGGCATTTTGCATGAAAGATTTGATGTTTGCAATTGCTGGGATTTGTTTCTTTGCAACATAATTGCTTGGTTCATTCATCTTAAAATAATTTATTTTCCAAAAAAATTCATTAAAGCAAGCCTTTTAAGACTCACTCGTATTTATAAAGCAATGTATTATAAAGCTAAAAACCTGCTACACGATGCATTTAAATTAAGAACTCTACAAACCTGCACATTATGCACATGTACCCTAGAACTTAAAGTATAATGATAATAATAATAAAAAAAAAGAAAATGTGGCGCATATGCACCATGGAATACTATGCAGCCATAAAAAAAAAGAACTCTGAATAAAATGGCATTGACATTGTAAAATATGTGGTGCCAATATTAAGTATTTCTAGTTAAGTGGTTAGTGAAATTTTGCCACTGGTGAGGATATAGCTGACGTTACTTTTCTAAAATGTTAAATGCGTATGTTTATTTCTTTCAAATGCTTTTGCATGCATATGATTGAAAGAGAAGGCTGATATGAACTTAGCACAAATTCATTAAGACTTAAATGGCTGTGTTCGATCAGTTCTAAGTCACTACTGGTTCTGGCACATGGTAATGGCCAAGTATATGAACAAATAAGTAACATATACGACAAACACAGCAGCTAAGTACATTTCATGTCTAAGTTTTTGTTTTCTTGAGGTAGTCCTTTTTATACTAATAGTAATACCAAGTTTTGTTATGCATATCCAATAAAAAGCAAATCTGTAGTGAATAAACCTGCATTTTTAAAAAGTTGATGCAGTGCCCTCCGTACCCCTGGCCTAAAGCGAAAGGTGCTTGATTTACTTGTCGATTCTTTAAATGGTAGGTAAGAGTGTGTGATGTACTGGTGACTTACCAAGTCACAACAAACCATCCACTTACATGAAAGAAATAGCCAGAAGGTATCTGTATTGGTAGTAATTGAGAATTGTAATGATAAAAATTAACTTGAGGCTGGGCATGGTGGCATGCCTGTAATCCCAGCACTTTGGAATCCTGAGGAGGGCAGATCACTTGAGTCTAGGATTTCAAGACCAGCCTGGGCAATGTAGCAAGACCACATCTCTACAAAAAATTTAAAGTACTGGCATACACCTGTAGTACCAGGTACTCAGAAGGCTGAGGTAGAAGGATCGCTTGAGCTCAGAAAGTTTAGGCTGCAGTGAGCTGTGATAATGCCACTGCACTCCAGCCTGAGTGACAGAGCGAGACCTTGTATCAAAAAATAAAATAAAATAAATTTTAAAAATTAAAAAATTAACTTCAGAGATCAGTTAATCTTTTTTGTTAAAATAGTAGCACATAAATCTGTTTACATACAGATGAGCTTCTAACCTATTATACTTTTCTAAATTTTTTAAACATGTTTTTGGATTATTAGTGTAGACTAGAACAAGTTTTAAGAATTTCCTTCCCCATCCTCTGCTACATATCTTTTAAAGATTCTTTTTGCCTCTTCATTTCTCTGTCCTCCACATTTTTCACCTCTATTCTGCATAATGTATTTTTAGGAGGTTTCCAAGTTAGATCTTCTGAGAGTATCCTTCCAGGTTTTGTCTGGATGATTATTATATTCCCTAATTATTGAGTCATGAAAAATAATAATTTTAGTTTCTTAAATTTTGAAGACTCTGAAATATTTTTACTTTGCCTTTGGATTTTTATTTATAAGAAGACTAATATTATTTTACCTTTCCTAATAAATCACTTGAGATGCTAGTGTTATATAGAGAGAAATAATTTAAAATAATCTTTTATGAAAGCTAATGGCTACAGAGTGAAATATCAGTTACCAGGTTGATTGAGTAGACTTCTCTCTAATTGTTATAATTTGAACTTCTCTAAGAGATTACTATATTTTGTTGGCAGACAAATGTTTTCTTATTAAAATCATTTATACACAAAAATGAAAAATGCCATCATTTTTTACTTTAGAAAAATGCTTTAACACAGGGAAAACTTCTAAAAATACTTCTCAGTATTTTCATTTACAATTACATTTACAGAAGAAGTATCATTTACAGTTAGTTTGTATAGTTATAAATTGTTCTTATCTAGTCATTAGAGAGCATCTTTTATAAACATGAGAGGATTTCTTTCTTTCTATAGTGACCAGCTGAACAAACTCTCCCACATTTCACAAATAATTCATTCTCAGATGCAGTATAATTTGAATAGAATGTTGTTTTATTTGCACAAGCCAAATCTTTTAACTTGAGAGAAGAATATTACAGTTCAAATTAAGCAGTGAATATTTAACATATTAATACTATGTTATTTTAGAAAAATTTATAACTTTAGAAGAAAGTGTTATTTTAATATGTAAATTCTAAGCAAAAGACAAGCAGACTTTTATCACCATTAAATCTGTAGTGGTAACATACATAACTTGGTATTTAATGTTTAGACATCAGCACCTTCCTCTCCCCTCATTTTGTCTCCACTAAGTTTTCTCTTGTCTTAAATTGCCATAGGAAAAAAGACACCTAAATGTTGTACAAAGTAGGTACCCAGTGGTTGTTGACTTAATAATATAGCTTAATTTATTGTATGACTTAATTTCCTTTTTCACTCTTCATCTTACACTTTGATTTAATTATTGTTACCATGTTTCTGAGAGTAGGAGTAGAATATTGATGCTAAGGAATGTGGTAGACATATCCACTCACAGATGTCCTGGTGACTTGCAGTTCCATTCTGAACTCTGTCTAGTTTAAGTACTGAGTTTTTTAAGCAAAAAAAAAAAAAAAAAAAGAAATCTTCCCATACCTCAGTTTCCCCAACTATGAAAAGGTAAGTCAAACTTAGCCTCCCAGGCCCAAGCAAATCCTTACATTCTTTGGGTTTTGCCATTTTCAGTAAGGTGGTAATAATTTTAACTTTACACACAACTGTAATGTACATGCTGCTAAGTGATTTAATCAAGATTATCCTTGGATAACATTAACCAGCTTTTTTAAGGGGTGTTTTGCAACTCACAGTTAGCTGCTTTACATTTTAATTGTAACTTATGAAAACTTTCCCCAAAGTTTGAAGGGATCCTACAATCTTTTTCTATTTGAAGATAGTAAAAAGGCTTATTATACTTATTCATATAACCCCTTTCTGCAATAAGATATAATAGACAAGATATTTAGGATGAATTAACAAATATTAGTTGAAATGTGAGAACAAAGAAAAGAAGAAAACAAATACACTTACCAAAAAGTCACTGTGATTGCTTTTGGTGTGCTTCATGTTTAGTTGTGAGCTAATATAGCCAGGACAAAAACAAAAATAATTTTAGATTCATAATTTGTATTACAAAAAGGAGAATGTGTGTTAGTTCCCCTGAGGAAGCAGAGTTTTTCCTGATGTCATATTATAAAAGAAACTTTTTATGCATCATTATGTAGAGTACGTGTATTTTTTAATCTGATTTATTTACCTGATTTATTTCTTGCTTTTTCATTTTGTTATTGTTGGTTGTGTTTATTTTCCTAACTTTGGGGAAGCAGAATTATTCCTAGTACCTACATTCCTGACCATGCGTATTGTTAATTGAATATATACTCAAAAATAATTATTGATAATAATTAATTTCACAAGTAAATAAACTTAGGTTTTGGTTTTAAAAAACAAATTTATTATTTCTTACAATCTTGCTATCTTGGGTAGCATAGTTCTAAGATACAATGCCCTTATCTTTCTTTATTCGTGTTAGTACTTAACACATTTTATTATAATTTCTTTATATGACATCTCCCCAAATAGTCACTTAACTGTGGGCTCCACTAGGTCAGGAATCCTATCTAATTCATTTGTAACTCTAATGCTACCCCATTGCCTGTGCATAATAAAGTATTCAGTAAATATTTTCACGAATGAATAAAATTGACTTTAAGTGTATTCTCTCTCTTTTTTATAATTCAGAATTATGGCTTGGAAACAGAAAATCTAAAAACCCTTTCTCACAAGTTGAATGCATCTGCCAAAAATCTACAGAATTTTATAACAGGAAGGAGAAGGAGTGGCCATTATGATGGGAGGACCAGCCGAAAATTGCCGAACGACTTTCTGACCTCAGTTGTGGATCTGATTGGAGCAGCCAAGAGTCTGCTTGCATGGTTGGACAGGTAAAGTCTTCCACGTGTTTCATAAGTGTCCTCTCCTCAGACACCAGTTTGAATATAACATTATTTTGCATTTTCTTGTGAAAGGATTGGACAGGCAAAGGAGTACCAATTAATAAATGTCTAATGATGATTTAGACATTTAGATTTAATACCCCACAATATAGGGGTATCAAACAGATATTAATCCTTTATAAAATTTGATATCCAACTAAGTAGCCAATCAATAATTAGTCCGACAACTGTAAAATACCTTGCTGCTTTATAAGCAAAATCATTATTTGGCTGTCATAATAAAATTTATAAATTTTTGTTTATTATACTACTGCTTTGTATCCTGATGTTCTTTATTCATATTAATTGGTTGTACTTAAGGAAATGACCATGGGGATGCTATAAACTGTTTTAAATAGGTAATTAGACACTGACACCTTCCTAGCATGCCTTGTGTGTCTCCTTGGCCTCACTTCATTCGTTCTCTGTTATTAATTACATTGTACTATTTTGGATATCATAAACACACTTTTAGACTTTTTTAAGTTTAGGTGACTTTCATTTGTTTTGGAACATGTAAAATAGTATAAAAGTCTTGTAATATGAAATGGAAAGGTTAGACTTACATTATATACTGTATGTGGTTAAACATTATAATGTTAAGACACATTGCAACTGTTTATTAAAAAACTAAATTTCTCTTCTTTCAGTTTTGGAATTTTTGGTAAGGGGTATGTACTATGTTTAATAGCTAAATAATCAAATTTAAAAAATGCTCTTTGTCTCTCATAAGAAACTCTGATAATATACATTATCAGAATTCTTTCTTGAATAAATGTCAGTAGGATATCCATATGTGTTCCTACACACACACACACACACACACACACACACACACACATATACACACGCCAGTATTACATTTTGGCATTTTAGAAACATGAGGCCTTATATTAAAAGTAAAGCTTTTGTATTTTTAAGGTGAAAATTGAGATAATTTTCCTTAATTTTATATATACTTATACATAATATAAAGTGATGATACTAAATCCAAATATGAAACACTAAACTATATATTACTAGCTTTTTGATAATTAATGGACTGCATGTTTCTTTTGCATTATAACATTATTAAAATGTAATATTCATAATTGTCTAAACCACATTATCAAGTGTTTAAATTAATTGAATTTTAAATATATACATTCCAAAAGTTATGAATGGTCAGTAAGTAAAATATGGCTTAGTCCTTAAGTACTATTAATATGTTTGTTTTGGTAGGTTTCACAGTAATCAGAAGGCTTAAAGAACACATCCTTGATTATAATTATATCTTCTTTTACTCTCATTTTCCGTATAATTATAAATTTGCCCAGCCTTGATATTTTCATTTAGTAAATTCATTTATATATTTTTTACCCTAGTATTTGTTAGATGGATAAATTGTTAGAGTGAATAGAGAATGTTTTTACTTCTTGATGACAGATATGGCTATTTATAAAATCGCACATTTCCCACACTATAGTAGTCCTTGAGATTTTATTGTACCAATTTTTTTATGGTGGCATTACTTTCATTATGTAATAAAATGCTTTTGGTAAGTGCCAAATCACCTACAAAACACATATGTGCATACACACCTACAAAAACACATAAACACACACACAGTGTGTCAGTGCAGATTTGCTTTAATTTGGGGGATTTAAAATGAACCCTGCAAATGAATACTGCCAAGCATTTGATCTTTAACTTTAGTTTATTCCTTCGATATACAGTACTTTAGTTGAAGAATAAAAATTTTGCCCGTTAAATAGGATTAATTTCATGTTAAGCAGCTGTCTTCATTTTTAAACAGCTATAAGTTTTATGTCATTACAAAATTTTTATTACATTTTGGAGAAAATGTGCATCCACAGCAATATGATTTGGGTTTATTACAGTTTTTATTTTATGTCACTTGAAAGAGGAGAAAGAAAAAGAAAAAATAGGTAAAAAAAAATTTAATTTTATTCTAGATGCTGAACTAGATGCTTTATACATACATATATACTCTCGGCTCATTGAATTCTCACAAAGCAGATATCGTTATCTCCATTTTACATATGAAATGTGAAATAACTTGCCTAAAGTCATTCATCTAGTATGAAAGTTATACTTTGAATCAATTTTTGTCTGACACTGAAGTCCTGTTATTTTTTCGTTCATGTTCCTTTGTCATGCTACACCTTGTTTTGAATGCTGACTAATTCTTGAGGATTTTGAGGAAGGGATGTGGCATATAAACCTTTATTTACATTTTGCTATTTATCTTCAAAAGCTAAATAAGACTACCACTTTTCTGTTTTGGGCCTCAGTATCTGAAATTGCTACATAGAACTTCATTAATAGAAAAGGTTTATTTCGCTGTTTATGGTAAAAGTTTACTGTTTTATCTCATTTTTAACATTAATATTTAATTCTAATTGTTTCTAAAATACCTTTCAAGATTATTCTGTTTTAAAGGGATCAATGAGATTTTTTTTTTATATCATTGAAAAACCTTTAAGTGTTTAAGGCATAATAGTGTGCTAGGAAAATAATATCAATGGAGCTTCCATTTAAGTGAGATATACTTTCAAAGACCAGCTCCTTACATTTCCTAAATAAGATAAAATCTAAGGTTAACACAATTCCGTTTTTTTCTCCTATTTAAAATATTGATTTCAGTGAAACACCAGACTTTCCCAGAGGAATAGTCTCAGAGGTGAATCACAGTTGGTAGCTTTACTGTTTATTTTCAATGCATGATTTACTTGTCTATTTTTAACCTACATCCTACTGTTTTTGACACCTTATATTTCTTGCAGTTTTCTGTGGCTTTGCCAAATCTATCTATACTCAGAAGTTTACAGATCACTACAAGTGTTACGTTGTACAGTAACATTAGTAATAATGTTCAAAATTTTTATTAAACAAAGTTTATTTTGCCTTCCATAGTAAAAGTTTTTTTTCCTTCATTTTTACCAGTAATACCCCATTCTGATAGTTTATAAAATACCTTTTTAAGGCCATCCTGTTTTGATGGGATCAATGAGATCTCTTTATATCTTTGAAAACCTTTTACATATTGAAGGCATAAGAGTTTAAGGTACTAGGAAATTTTTGTTAAGATTTCTTTGAAATTTTTTGTCTTATGTAAGAAAATTGTTAAACTAATTTCTTCTTCCATGATAAGAAACTATAGGACAAATTAATTTTATACCAGGAAAAATATTACAGAGACCAAGAAAACTACATTAAACACTACCAGATAATGTGATTCATTGTTTGGTCTTATTTTCTCTCATGTGCTCATTGCTTCTCACTTGGCACTAATTATTCCAGGGAAGAGCAGTGACATTAGCACTACTATTATTCATGGACTACCCTAAGGTTTCAGCAGTGCCAACCTGAGAAATAGTAAGGCATTCCAGATTTTCCTTATTAACCTCTTAGCTTTCCTTATTAGTTTCTAATTTGTTTAGGATTTCTGAACCGTTAATAACCTTTTTATAAATGTAATGCTTTTGTTTAGCTATCATGTACAAAGAATAATTTCTTATAGGGTCATAAACTTTTGCGCCAGAGAGAAATATAAGCATCGTATTATCTATATGATGATTTAAGGAGTACAGTTGCTTAATTTTTAAGATCTAAATAGGATAATTCCTGTAACAACCACTTAGCAATGATCCAAGGATTTTATCTTTTTTTCTCTTTCTGGCATCGAAAAGCTTTCTTGCTATGAATTTAATTTCCTTTAATTAGAGTTATTGTGTTCTTCTTGTAAGTACCCTGAACTCTACTTGAGGGTTTCTTCAGACTTAAGAACAGTTTCTTTATTTTTGTTTTTGATTTTGTTTTTGTTTTTGTATATGTGTGTGTGTGCAAGCGTGCGGATCATGTTCAGTTATTCTACAGAGATCTATTGTTTTTACTCTCATAGATGATCATTAAGCCATGACTGAGGGATAATCTTTGGTAACCCACAAAGACTGGAATGCCACCTGACCTTTTACCCTTATTTGTATGTAGATGCAGCCCAAATCATCATACCAAACCTTAAAATCTGCTGGCTAAGAATGGCTGTTAGTACAGTTGTATGTGATTTGCCTCTAAGATAAAAACTTTAGGATAATTCTAAATCACTATAAAATAAAATCTGTTTTCCTTAGTATGTGTTTAGATTTTTCTTTTCATTTTTTCTTGAAATTTAATCTTGAGTGAGAAGCTTGTCCTACTTAAAATATGAATGGTCAGGAAAGTGGAAAACATGCCTTGGAATTCAGTTTGCTATAAGCATTTAGTGATCAAATAGGGTTTTTCTTTTCTGTATTTGAAAATCAAGTGAGATTCTTTTAAGTAGTTATGGTAAAACAAAATGAAACAAACATTCTGTGTATCACCTCATCACTTCTTAATGAAATTTTAAGATTTTATAAACAGACTCTGACCTTTTCAAACCTAGGAATCGAAACTCTTTTCTAATCATGCCAGAAGCATTTTTGAATTCTTACTTTAAAATGCCAGTTTTTATGCTTCAATGCAGCAAAAATGGTCTCTATGTAATTTTTTTTTTTTTTTTTTTTTGAGACAGAGTCTTACTCCGTCGCCCAGCCTGGAGTGCAGTGGCATGATCTCGGCTCACTGCAACCTCTGCTGCCCAGGTTCAAGCAATTCTTCTGCCTCAGTCTCCCGAGTAGCTAGGATTATAGACACCCGTCACCACGCTCAGCTAATTTTTGCATTTTTAGAAGAGATGGAGTTTCACCATCTTGGCCAGGCTGGTCTTGAACTCCTGACCTCATGATCTACCTGCCTCGGCCTCCCAAAGTAATTTTTAAAAATAATGATATTCTCCTAGAAGTGCTTATATTTTTCATTAAAAAATATTTTTATTAAGTCACCTAGAAAGCATCCTTGGTCATCATTGTCTCCTTCCCACCTGGCCCAGAGATGCTTAAATTCAAGTTGTTTCTCCAGCTCTCACCTCCCCCAGGAGATCAGGATTTCACTGACGTCCCGAGCAGCCAGTGAATTTAATTTTCCATGAGAAACGACAGAGTTAACCTGTGGCAATAGGAGACCTACTTCATGTGGACCTTTTTTTTCCCTTCAGTTTAACTTTTCTGGAACAGTGTGCTGCGTAGTTCAGCCTGAGTTTGTGCAGCTTGTTAAGACACCTCTTGTGTACACTATGTTGAAGCTCCACAGAAAAGTCATGGGACTACTTCTAGAAACCTTTCAACTGTCAGGCCTGTCAGTCTCATGACAGCTTGTTGGTTGTGCCAAACACTTTATTTGGGAAAGGAAAGCCCAGATTTGAATGGGTGTTTCCCCTGGGCCTTATCCTATAGAGGCATTTGTAATATGGATAAAATAATTTTTCATTTTTGCTCATTTAATTCTATAAATTCTCTTTTGAATGAATTTTGTGTTCTTTAGTTCTCCTTAAAAGAACTTTTGAATTATAAAAATACTTTACCTGTCGAAAAAAAATATTTTTGTTGAGGCCTAATTTATTTTCTATAAATTAACCTATTTTAAGTATACAGTTTGATGAGTTTTAGTAAATTTTGATAACACCTATACAACCACCTTTACAATCCAGTCTTAGAAATCTTCCATTAGGATGGATTTTTAAAAGTTGGTTTCTGCTTACAATTAAAGAGGTTAATTTTTTTACTGAGAATTTTGATTAATCACATTTTTTTCTAATTCAGTTTTTAAAATTCTTATTATTTACGTAAATCCTTTTATTTACGTAAATTATCTTGAAAAAATATACTGGGTTTTGGAGTAGGAGTAGATAAGTTCATGAAAGAGAGCCTATAATACACTGTGGTATAGTCATGCATTGCTAATGATAAGAATTGGCAATTTTGTTGTGCAAACATTATAGAGTATGCTTACATAACCTAGATGGTACAGCCTACTACACACCTAAGCTGTATGGTATATATAGCCTGTTGCTCCTAGGCTACAAACTGTACAGCATGTGACTGTAGTGAATACTATAGGCAATTGTAACACGATGGTAAGGATTTATTCCATATCTAAACCCAGAAAAGGTACAGTAAGAATAAAGCATTATAATCTTATGGGACCACTGTGGTGTATGTGGTCTGTTGTTGACCAAAACGTCATTTTATGCAGCACATGACCGTATATAAAATCATTTACAAAACAATATGTTAAAACCACCAGAAAAAGAAAGGGCCATTTAGTAAATTGTAGTGGGGCACTTGGTTAAGCCTTTAGAAAATAGATAATGATAGAGCACTATTTTTCTTCACTAAAATAAATTTTAGATATATCAGATATCTAAGAAGAAAATATAAATTTACAAGAAAACTAGAAAAAATATAGGCAAAAAATGATTTCTAGATGTGAAAAGACTTTCTAAGTATTTTTAAAATGGAATAAAATACAAAGGAATGTACTGTTGACTACATAAAAATGAAAAATGTAACAAAGTATAAGATGACAAGCTGGGAAAAATATTTGCAACAAACATGAAAAGCAGAGGGTTAATGTGTAATGTGTAATATTCATATATGAACATATGTGAATATTCATATTGATAAACAAAACCCACCAAAATGTAACAGGTGTGCATATAAGTAGGTAAATCAAAAAAGAGGAAACAGAAATCACTGGTAAGATGTATATATCAAAAAACAGAGCTTTAAAGTGCATGAAGCAAAAACTGATAGAATGAAAGAGTAAATAGACAAATCCACAGTTGTAGATTTCATTTCCTCTTTCTCAAGAATAGATAAAATTAAACAGAAAGTCAGTAAGATTAGAAAAGCTGAGCACCACCACCTAACAACAAAAAAGTTGACATTTTTAGAGCACTTCATCCAACAGCAGGAGAACAAAAATTTTTTTCAAGTACTCATTGAACATTCACCAAGATAGACTGTATCTGTATCATAAAACAAAATTCAGCAAGTTTAAAAGAATTGAAATCAGATGATAAAATGAAACTAGTAACTCATACAGCACACTTATAAGTAATCCAACGGTCAACTCTCATGGAAAATAAAAAGTAATACATTGAACAGAATGAAAAAAGACCAAATCATAATTTGCGGCACACAGCTAAAGCAGTGCTGAAAAGGAAGTGTATAGCACTGAATGCTTATATATATCAGAAATATATATATTCAAAATATATCAGGAATATATGTAGTAAATATATCAGACGCACTGAGTGCTTTATATCAGAAAAAAAGAAAGATCTCAAATCAATCATTTAAGTTCCCATCTCAAGAAAATAGAAAAATAAGAACAAAATAAGCACGGAGCAATAAGATCCTCTTAAGGATAAGAGCAGAAATTAGTGAAATTGAAAACAAACAACAGAGAAGTCAATCAAAATGTAAAGATTAATGAAGGAATATTACAAATAACTTCAGACATAAATTTGGTAGCTCAGATGAAATAGACCAATTCCTTGAAAAATAGTACTAAAACATAACCCAAGATGAAATAGATACTCTGAATAATCCTATAACTATTGAAGAAAGAGAATATTACCTAGAAACGCCTCAGGGTGTGGAGAAAAGCTGCAGGCTCAAATGATTTCATTGGTGAATTTTATACATTTAAAGAAGAAATAACACCATTTCTACACCATCTCTTCCAGAAAATAAAGGCGGGAACTTTTCCTATATCAGTTTTTGAGGCAATCATTATCCTGATACAAAACCCCCCCCCAAAAAACAAAAAACAACTGCAGACCAATATTTTGCAGGAACTTAGATGTTAAAACCCTCAACAAAATATTACCAAACTAAATATAACCATGTGTAAAAAGAATTATACACATGACTAAATGAGCTGCTTCAAACACTTGAAAATATATCAAGTATGAAGTATACAGGTCCACCACTTACTAGTTGTGTGACCTTAGATAAGTCACTTAATCTTTCTTTACCTTATGTTTCTCATCTGTAAAATGAGAATAATAATAGTGCCTATCTCATAATGGTTGTGAAGATTAAATTATCTAATACATGTAAAGCATTTAGAATAGTAACTGGCACATAGTGAGCCCTCAGTGAACCTTAGCAGTTGTTATTACTAGCTCTTAATTGTGAATATTCTAAATAGATACTGTACTCAGAATCTTGGGTTCTTTTGAAAATAAACTAACATGTTATCTTTGCCTAAAGTATTCCTTTTTTGTTTTAGATACAGTGAAAATACCTTGTAAGAACCAAAGAACTTCTAAATAATTAAGAACTTTAAAAAGAGAGAAATTTGGTAGAAAGCAAACATTATATTTCCTGAATTTAATGCTCTTCCAATCATTTCTTTCAAAACTTTCCTTGAAATAAGTCCTGAATATTTTTGTCAGTATGCAAATTTCAGAACAACTTATTTCATATTATTGAAAAACTCATTTTAGGCTACTATATTTTGGGACTTTTCAAAAGCTGTTACTAGTAATCACAATTTTCCTTTTCCCTTTATAGGTCACCATTTGCTGCTGTGACAGACTATTCAGTTACAAGAAATAATGTCATACAACTCTGCCTGGAGTTAACAACAATTGTGCAACAGGTATTAGCTGACAAACTTTCCTTCTGTTAATTTATTAGCAACTTCATATTCCAACAATGGGAAGTATCCTGTGTACCAAGAGTTTGTAAGATACTGGTTTAGAAGTTTCTCAAAGACAAATCGTTCTAAAGAAATGAAATGTGTAATTATTTATTGGGAAACTATGCATATAGCTCAGTTAACTTACCAGAAGATATAAAAGGAACCTGACCTGTACACATACAAACAAATGTGTCTAATAGCTTTTAACAATGATCTAATTACCTGAACTGATTTTCCACTTCGAATATTATCTAAGCCAGGGATCCCCACACCAGATGCCTTCAGGGTCCAGCAGCTAATATAAATGTTTGAATTAAGTCTGGTATAAGGCAAGGAGAAATGGAAGAGACTTGGGTGAATTGACTAGAACATATCCAAACACATCTTTTAGAGGAAATGTAATTATAGGCATGATATATCAGTGGTTGTAAATTATCTCTTAAATAATCTGTTCTTTTTCTACTGTGATGTGATGATATCTCTTTTCAGTAGCAAGTTTTTCTGGGCTCTGTGATCTCTTGCTACCTGTAGTAGCAAGAAGAATAAGGATTAATAGGTAAAATAATGAAATAAAATAGTTAAGTGTTTATTTCTTTATGACGAAGCTATGGGTGATTTTATTTAGACTCTACTTTTCTATATTTTCCAAATGAATTTTTATTTTCTAAAATGAATTTGAGTTATCAAAAAAACAAAAAAGAGTGTTAAGTACATTGAAGAAATACCTCTTTAAGTTTGCCAAAGGAACACAGCTTAGACGAATACTTAAATTTTACTTTAAAATAAATTACCTAGCTTACAAACAGTTAATGTTCATCTAATCATCTAATTCAGCCATTATATACATACTAATCACTGCATTTGATTGGAATTGTATGAAGTGTCTGAAGACAGGAATTAAACTTAAGCTTCCAGTAAAAGAGGCCAATTTGAATAAGCAAGGTGTAGACTTTAAAAAATATCTAGGGCATGCATTTATTACCAGGCTTTCAAGAAATCTCATCTGAACAGTTATGATGATGGTTATGCTTTGAAATATGCTGTGCTTCAAATTATTTTTCACTTAGCTTTAATTATTTTTATTCCCTTTGCAGCAAGATGAGATAATCAATATCTAAAAATAAACTGTCACAAATGGCTTTTTTCCCCTTTCTAACACAAAGTGGTGGTACTATGAAGTAAAAAGAAAGTGCTGCTTGATATTAGCCACTTATATTTAAAATAATACTAAAATTGGAGAAAGTTAATGTCAGTTTCTTTTGAAAACCTCCATTTGCAGGAATTTGTTTAATCTACTATATTTATTTTACTTATTCCCAGTTGTGATGGGTTTGGATCATTGTATTTGAAGCCATTTAAAGAGATTTCTCCTCCCCTCCCCAACACTTTCGTCACATAAGATTGGTTATAACGACACTTTTGAAAAAAAAAGAGAAACTGGTTTTAAAATCTTAAATAGAATTCTCACAAAGAACTGAAGCTTCATTTAGAACACTGTCAGCAACTGAATCAGAACAATGAGACAGGTACCCACACGCTACTTGTCAGCATTTAAATAATTGCCGTGATGCCTTCCTTAATGGATATCAACTTAACCTAAAATTATTCTACTGTACCATTTTTATGTTCTCTACTTCAAACACAAAAATGGTGAATTAGATTGTCACTAGTTAAGAAATAAGCACAAAAGTGTTGGTTTGCAAGATGAAACTTTGTTGAAGTTTAAAATACATAGGTCATGGTGGTAATCTTGGAGGATTTGAGACTCAGCCCTGTTGTTTCATGATGATTCCACATTGGACAAACTGTGTCATTGCTTTCACCCTCTGTAAACAAAAGTAATCACATCTACCTCAAAGTTTTTGTAAGAATCAAATGAGATTTATTTTAAAATAGTTAAGACTTGGAATCAACCTAAATGCCCATCAATAGTAGACTAGATAAAGAAAATGTATATATACACCATGGAATATTGTGCAGCCCTGAAAAAGAATGAGATCATGTCCTTTGCAGCAACATGGATGGAGCTGGAGGTCATTATCCTAAGCAAACTTAACACAGGGACAGAAAACCAAATGCCATTATCTTCTCACTTGTAAGTGGGAGCTAAACATTGAGTACACATCGACACAAGGGAACAACAGGTACTGGGGTCTACTCGAGGGTGGAGGGTGGGAGGAGGGTGAGGATTGAAAAACTACCTTTCGGGTACTATGCTCATTACGTAGGTGATGAAATCTATACAGCAAACCCCATGATACCCAATTTACTTATATAACAAACCTGCACATGTACCCCTGAACCTAAAATAAAAGTTAAAAAAGTAAAATAAAATAAAAATAGCTGATGAATGTAAAGTGAAAAACAAAGATGAAAGTAATATTATTTACAAAAAATGGGTAAGGAATAAAGAGACTTGATAAAAGGAAGTGAAACAGGAACTTTGTTTTGAAAAATAAATGTCAGAGATTTTTTTCTCCGTTTGGTGTTAGTTTTCATGAGCTGCATTTACGGTGAAATCTGAATTAGGTGCTGAGGGAAAAATTCAAACATGTTGAAGAACATTTTAAATCAGATTTTGAAATGTTAAATACAGAGTCTTCTTAATACTCAAGTTTTGACAATATGCTTTTTACCTGAACTGGTCCTCTCTAAACTGTATTTATTAAAAATCTTTTTCTGCTTGTTTATGGGTCTGTTCATTTCTAACCTTCTTAGATCCATTTTCCATGTTATTGGTTATCACTGGTTGTCTGAATAGTGTTAAAAACATTTTACAAAAAACTATAAGTAAGAATATTTACAATAATCCAATCTGAATTATGCAGAAACAATTAGTGCTGTCGCTTTGGTCTTTCCTGTAATAAATGTCTTTACTTAAGTTGTTATTCTGACTTTCTGCCAGTTCTTTTGTTTTACTTTGTTCCATATTTACCTGTCAGATGTATTTTATTTTCTAAACCTTTATTCAATTAAATGGAAAAATATTCTTTGAAGATCAGTATTAAAAATGTTTATTTTTGATGGACAGCCTCCTTTAAATTATGTGTATGTGCTTTCTATTCACTTGTGTTACCTTTATAATATTTTAAATATAGAAAATAAAAGTAAACAATTTATGAAACATCCTCTAAATCTGCATCTTAAAATAAAGATATAAATGAGCATATTGAGTATATAGCCCTTTTTAAATATATTCCTGCTCAAATGTAATTTAACCATTTTATCTATTTTATCTTAATCAAGTTGTTAATTGCTCAAGGTAAATACTTGAGAAAATAAGAGTTTTTAGGACTTATTGATCTGGGATTTGTGTTTTAAATGCTTAGAGCACAAATTTGTAAATACTGTTTAGAAAGATTACAAAATTTTGTTAAAATGAATAGCCCAGAAGTAACTTTTAGTTTCATTAAGGATTTATTCAAGGAAATTTAGCTTGCAGTTTTATTGATTATATATATTATATTTTACTTAATTACATTCATGTATATGAATAGTACTTCATTTATCTTCTTAGCTGACATTTCATATAATTAACTTTCATAATTTATGACAAAACAGTGTAGTGGGCTTTGACATGAAGTAGATCCAAGTTCATCATCCTGGCTTTGCTTTTCAACAAACAGTATAAACTTGGCCAAATTACTTCATATCTCTGATATTATTTTTCTTTTTCTGTAAAAGTGGATCCCTACCATTTTTAGATTATTGTTGAACTATTGTAAATATTTGAAACTGATTTAGCCCACCATCTGGCATATAGTGGGAGCTTAATAAATGGCCACTCAAGTTATTTTGTGTAACAAAGGAGCCTTTGGAAATGCTAAACTCAGCTAGTTTCTTGCTCTGCAGAAAATTTCAAGGAGTGATGCTCTGCTTGCTTTTGGTATTGAGTGGCAATGAAGAAAGATCTCATTTCTAAAATGAGAGATTTTTTTTAAAAAAAGGATTTTGGTATAATTCAGAATGTTCTTTAGATTTTAATGCAAATTCATTACTGTGCTTCATTTTCTGCAAGATATGTTTAAACATTCATGTTCAAATGTAATGCAGAAATTAATTTTGATTACCCAGGGATATATCATCTCTATTCACACATTCAAATTCAAGTAGTAGATACACGTAAAGGTGTAAAATGGGGATATAAATTATGCTGGAGTAGGCAAGGTATATATTCTATCATTAATACGGTAAGTGTTGAAAGCATATGAAAAGCCTGTCCAGGATGATCTTACAGATGTTTAAAACACAACTTTAAATACTATTTTTACTATGTACTCAGAGTTAGTGTTTAAACCTTCCTGAATCAGACATTCTAGGTGACCTGAAAATTTTATTGGGGCTCTTGAGATTGAAACTGGGACATTTCAGACCAAAAAACAGGACAAGCTTTATATGCATTTTAAAAACAATGTGGATTTTATTAGCATACTCAATGAAGGCAATATAAAAAGTGATTCTGTTTTTTCACTTTTTTCTTTTATTTTTAGTTGACACATAATTGTATATATTTATGGAGTACAGAGTCATACTTCAGTACATGTATACAATCTGTAATGATCAAATCAGGGTAATTAGCCTATCCATCATCTCAAATATTTATCACTTCTTTAGGGTGGGAACATTCAAAATCCTCTTTTCCAGCTTTTTGAAAATATACAATAAATTATTGGTAACTATATTCGTTCTACAGTGCTATAGAACACTAGAATTTGTTCCTCCCATCTATCTGTAATTTTGTATCTATTAACTTATCTCTCCCTATCCCCTCCTCTCTCCTACCCTTCCCAACGTCTAATAATCGGTCTACTCTCTACTTCTATGAGCTCAATGTTTTTAGCTTTTGCATATGAGTGAAAACATGTAATATTTATCTTTCTGTGCCTGACTTATTTCACTTAACATAATGTCCTTTAGACTCATCCATTTTGCTGTGAATTATAGGATTTAATTCTTTT